TATATATATGTATATATATATATATATATATATATTTTAGAAAGTAAAATTAATTACTTAGTGTTATCTGTCATTGGTGTCTGGTTTTCTTGTGTGAGACTGTGTTTAAGATTAATTATTGATGAACTTCTACATGGCAGAAAAATGTGATCCAGATAAAACACGTCATCACAAAATGAAAAATAATAATCAGAGAGGCAGAATTCAGTCCATGTGGCAATTTAACTCGGCCATATATTATCCCCAAAAAAGATTTAGGAAGTCAAATTAAATTAAATTAACCAAAAGCAGGTGTGGCAATGTGCCAATCAGTGTATTTTGAAAGATAATATAACTTTTCTGTATATTTTTTTGCAGTTCTTTGATAGGTTCATTTTCCCACCATTTGGTTCACAGATCAAATTAGCAGAAGTAACCAATACAGGGGAAAACCGCTATATTTTTATATTTATATTGTGCATTTATTTAATAAATAATGTATTAATAGTGAAATATAGATTTTCTTCTGTAGGTGCCAGAGCAGAACTCTGAACCAAGGATCAAAATGAACATGCTCATCCGTTGCACAAATTATTTGTTTGGTCATACGGTAGCTGGTAGTCAGAAATTCTGATACAAAACTCGAAATGAACCAAATCTCCAAATCTAATAAATGAAACTGTGTGCCTTGTGGAGTGGGGGGGGAGGGACTGCAACTATAGTTAACATTTTTCTCCAGAAATTTCAAACCAAAAATTCATAAGAAATGCATTTCATTATGTCCATTCTCACTGGTCATACCTCTGTTGTTTTATTTTTTGTGTTTACACTTATTACCTATCAGAAATATAAAGAAAGTGATGTTATTCTCGTAATCCCCAGATCGGCCTATTATCCTTTAATACTTTTAATAGCATATTACCAGCTGAATTTTATATTGATTCATTTACATCTTTAGATTAAAAAAAAAAATATGAATAAAATATTCATAGGATTTTATCCTTATCTGAGCACAATTGCCCATCCCTGAAATAAGCCTACAGCAAGCGGCATTGAGCATTCTTGGCATTTTGAAAAAAAATGTGTTTATCAAACTGTGCCAGCAGCCAATTCAAAAACACACTATAGTATATTGAAAGAACTTCAAAGCTGCAGCTAGTTAGCAGAAGACAGGAAACTTGTGGACGTTTTGAACGAAGAAAACAAAAAATGCTTTTCTAAAGTTCTCATAACAAATTAAAACCATTATATCTAGACAAACAGACACCTGGAACAGCAGGACGCAGCGCACAGGACACTTTGAAAATGTGTTAAATCTTGTGAACACCTGTACTCAGACTATTGATGTAAATTAAACTTAATTCAGTTTAGCCCGCTGTTGCTTTTTTTTTTTTTTTACATTTTTTAAATAAGAAGGACTGAGATGTTTTTTTAACAGAGCTGTAACACAACAGATTGTGGTATCTGTATTTAGTAAAATGTCCTTTAAACTGATGCTGTGTTCTCTAAATTATTTTTATATGTGATTCTTGGGCTTTGCCTTTTATATTACATTGCCTGCTCGGTATTGTTTAAAATAAGAACAAGGCATTGTCCGACCTAAATTGATGTATATTCTATTCACTTTACCTTAATATACCGCTTTAGCTAGCTACTTTATATCTTCTGCCAGTTTCATAATAGTTGTGACTTCTTTACAAACCTCTTGCTGATGTCCTGCGTAAAGAAAAGTAAAGTAAACTAAATTATATGGTATTATAAAACAATGGTCCAAATGCACTGGGAACCTTTATTTGTTCTGTACATTAAAACTTGGCACAAAACAAGGTTTAAGCAGGTGTTGTATGTTAAAATCAGATCTTACCATGCTTTCCAAAGTTAGTGTTTTAGCAATATAAACACAAAAGAGCAGAGACAACACCATATCAAGTATAGAATAAAGTCTTTGCTTCACACAAACTCAGGTTTGCTAAATGTTATCATTTAAGGGAGCACTATAGGGTCAGGCACACAAACATATATTCCTGATTCAAGTCTGGAGCTGCAGGCTTTGTCCCTGTTTCCTGTAGACCTGCCCACTGCCAGGCGACATCAGCAGAAGTGGTAGCCTGATCCAATCACAATGTTTCCCCAAAGGATTGGCTGAGACTGACAAAGAGGCAGATCAGGGGCTGAGCAAGCACAATTCAAACACAGCCCTGGCCAATCAGCATCTCCTCATAGAGATGACTTAAATCAATGAATCTCTATGAGGAAATTTCAGTGTCTGCATGCAGAGGGTGGAGACACTGAATGTTTGGATGCATTTTAGGCAGCCATGACCCAGGAAGGATCTCTAGCAGCCATCTGAGGAGTGGCCAGTGAAGTTATCACTAGGCTGTAATGTAAACACTGCATTTTCTCTGAAAAGACAGTGTTTACAGCAAAAAGCCTGACGGTAATGATTCTACTCACCAGAACAAATTCAATAAGCTGTAGTTGTTCTGATGACTATAGTGTCCCTTTAATAAGAGTTTATTAATTAAATGCACTGTTCAGTAAAGGAAGTTTAGTAATTAGACCTCTCTTTCAGGAAGTGTGTTGGAGGCTGTGTGGGTCACAGCCAGGGGAGGTGTAGCCAAGGCTACATAAGCAAAGTGATTGAACTCCTAAGTAACAGAGAATTGATTAGTCAGACTGCAGGGGCATGATCTATACACCAAAACCACTTCATTAAACTAAAGTTGTTTTTAGTTTTAAATGTAATCCTTTAATATTAATCCTAATTAAATCCTTATTTTTTCCGTATTTCAGTACAATTCAATGTTTAAATTTACTGTTTAGTGAGCAAACTCATAAATCTTTGAAATCAGCATATTTAGTTATTTATTACAGTTTTAACAGTCACAGTAATTTATAGTCCTGGTGTTTCTAAAAAGCATTGAGTTAAACAGAATATTTTTAAATAACCACTGGTTAAAAAATAAATAGCAAATACTTGATATCCATCAAGATCAGTCTTATGTATGAACATTCGGGCTCCCTATTTGGATTATTGATGATGTCCGACTAATAGCTTCTCTTGGCAATGAAAATCTGTAAAGAAAAAATGTTGAACATTTTATAGATTATACTTCTCAAAAGACCAGAAATATTCAGCGATGTCAAATTGTTCACTTCTAATACCATTTGTGAGATGCAATCCATCATTGCCAAGTAAACCATTAAAAGTATCGTACTTTGTTCATTTCTTTTAAAGAATTATTTATTTCTAAATAATATATTTTCATATCCTCTTAGCATTTATGGTGTTTGCTATTTATTTAAGCATCATATTTGTCCACCTGCTTCTATCAGGAAATAGTTTTGTAGGCTGTTTTTTGTTTTTTTATTATTATTTTTTTTAGGGGGTTTTTTTGTGTGCAGATTCGACTTTTTGGATAATCTTCTTGTCATTTTTGATTGTCAAACTACATTTATTTTATATAAAAGATTTTCTGTCAGGCAAAAGCAAGAAGCTTGCCTGACTTCCACTTCAGTATTACTTGCTTTCTTATCAATCAATTTCGAGCTTCCTGGATTTCAGGACAAGTTGAAGTTGACTTTTTTACATTTTTAGGTTTGTGTTAATTTTTTTTTTTCTTTCTGTAATTCAGGAGCAGTGTACTAGTTGATAAATGTACAGAGAGAATACAATATATCTATGTACGGTCTTCTACTTATACATAGACTTATTCACTAATGTGTGACTTGTCTCAAAATCAAAGTAAATACAACGCACACTTTACATTTTGGGGGGAAAAAATGAAACATACCTTGTTTTTCCAATTGATCTAATTTGTTCAAAATTTTAACCCAACAATTCATACTCTCCATAAATAATTCTGAAAGACCCAAGTGTTTATTCAGCAAACTCCAACTTGCAGAGAATTGAGAATTGATTTATAAAATTAGTTTTATTCCCCAACTAATAAATAAAGGTATAAAACAAATAATGTGATAAATCTGTAAAAACAAGCAAACAGTTTTGAAGAAATTATAAACATGTAATAGCTTTACATTAGGGCTTACTTACTAAATCTGGACTTGTGCGTTATTAATAAACTAATAAAATCCTCTCCTGCAACTGTCATTTAAAAAACAAAAAACAAAACCCTAAGTCTTCATTGAATACTATTCTAACAATCAACTTTTCTAATATTTCCCTTACCTTTTGTATCATTTTACCCACTCCATCTAACATGTAAACTCACTGAGCAGGCCCTCAATCCCTCTGTTACTGTGTCACTATACCCCACTCCCTCTAGCATGTAAACTCACTGAGCAGGCCCCTCAATCTCTCTGTTACTGTGTCACTATACC